TCAGAGAAAATAGAGTTATCGGCGCACAGAGCATGGAGCATATGCCACGGAAGAACTTGCCCTGACGTACGCTAATTTGATATTGGATAACCGTTTCCGTCGTCGGCGCGAACCGACGCGTGCCTCTGAAGGTGTGCACGTACACAACGAATTCTTACTATTTCGCGAAAAACGCGTTAAAATGAAAAAATGACGAATAACGCGTATCACCGAAAATAAAGGACGCAGGTTTGACAGCGGACGAATTTCTCCTTAAATAATGATCCATCGATGCCTGAGAGGTTAATAGGATTTTCGCTCATGACGAAATCGCAATTACTTTGATATTTCATACGAAATATCCGTGATTAGGTTAATCTATCCGCTTGTCGCGGACACTCTCTTCCATTTGGATTTACGATGGAAAATGAGAATAGTTTTCAAAGAGACGATGGAAGCCTATTTTCCTGGCACTGTATAAAAGGCGAACACGTAGGGGAAAAAAACTTAATTTAGTTCAACCTGTTCGTTTCCGATAGGTGTAGGTGTATGCATGTGGGCCGACATGCGGGTAATCGTTCTACCTTTCCAATCCCTACGGATACAAATTTTTTAGAAAATCCTTGCTGGTCGCCCGACTCGTTCTGTAATCTGCAGACGTTATAACGGACCACCATTATCTGTAAAGGAAGAAAAAAAAATAGTTAATGGTAGCAAAAAATTCATGAACCAAGCGAGACAGGCAGGAAGGAAGAAGGGAAAGATGGAAGAATGGAAGCTTGCTTTTTACCTTGCTTCTTTTCCATTCGTCCCTTACAGTGTCTTACACCGACCGATTCGCTTTACTTACATTTTTCCACAGTCATTATCTTAAAGCCTCGCCCATAACACGCATCTTCTCGTAATCGAATGATTACTACTATATTTTCCCTACTCGTTTACAGATAGTCAAGTACAATCGAGTAGGTAGCGCGAGTTACGAAGTAATTACGCGATAAGATCCATGTCTTCTAAAAATGTATTCTTGTTATGCTCCATATTTTTCCCATTCGTTTGAAATAAATTCTACCTAGTCACGAGTGGAAACTTACCGATTTACACGCAAAAGTCCGATAACATGGCGGAACATCGTTGAAATATGGATACCGTGGAAGTACTAACAGACTCAAACAGAGAACTGGTCACATAATCCCTTGGCGGTAAACTTGTCGCATTATCCGTTGCATCACGTTCGGCAACTAGGCGTTAGTTTCCAGCCAAGGGACATTAGGTTCCAGAGACGCTAAGAGAGTTGACAACAGGCACGAGTCACCTGAGAAACTAACGAGGCAAAGTTGACTTTGAGTCCTGAGAAATATGCGAGACAAATTACTGGACAAGTACCGTCGTTGTAGCCCTATACATGCTTCGACGTATACGGACGTACACGGATGTCTCTCTTAAGCAAACTTACGCGAAAACCAGAATAGTGTACCCCCCTATACGGGAATGTAATTAGTCGCTCGATGCGAAAGGAACGTTATCAAAAAGTCCAATCGAAAAGCGTTATCCTTATCGCGTGTTCGCACCGAATTAAAATGTATGCATCAACTTAGCTTTGGAACGATGTGTCATAGCGCGACATGAATCATACGACTGATATACAAACACGGCCGACGACAAATGTTTTATACCGTCGTTTAATTCGTACTTTTACTTTCAAATTACAACTGACTTCCAGTCCGGCGTTACAGCAATGGAAGGCAGATACATCATGTCCTATCGAAGGAAGCCATCAATGGCGTAACCAGGAAGCCGTCCAAAGTTCTCTAACGATGATGTATCGAGGCTATACGAGACCCCTAACTCGTGGCCATTCCGATACACCGTAAGTTACCGTTTCTTTCGCTCTTTCTTTCTTTTATCCTTTCCTTCGCCACCCTTACCGGGAGAAGCATTACCCCCCTTGGTATCCTTGAAGTTACCATCGATGATGACCGTGACAGATAGCCTGTCATAACTCGCCACTACGAAAAACGTATCTGCGGTCTGATGTTTGCTAAAAAAGTAACGCACGCCGGTTTTTCGATCCTGAAATGGACATGAATTATGTCGGTCGAATTGTGTAACGCCATCAATTCTTCGCTGATAAGCCGAAGGTTGGATTTAAATTACACCTCGCGTACGCGTTTCAAAGGAATAAAGCATGTTTGTAATCGACTCGAATTTCTTTCTCTTAATCCTGTTTGTTTGAACGTGTTATTTGGCGCGCGATGTTTTAAAGAAAGTAAGAAAACGTACATGTACGCGGGACACTGTACAGCTTTCAGCAGCGTATAACCCATTAGCTAAGCCGCGTCGAAATGATATTTTCGGAGGGATGGAAATTTTGATGGCTTACGGCAAAGAAGAGTTTGGAAAACTGTCAAGTCAAGCCGCGGAGACTTTTTAAAACCGAACGACGCTAGGGTCAACGGGGAACTGTCAAAGTAGCTTTAGTTTTCACAGGCAGCGCGCGTATTTCCGCATGGAGGAGAGCACTTTCCTACGTCGGTGATTCGCCACGCTTTTTATCTTTCTGCCCTTTTATGCTGTCGCTCTTAGTCCGGTACGACATTGATGATGCATTAAAATTCATCTGCACCTTTATTGCCGGTCGTTTCATAGAAATTTCCTGCCCGTTATCTTCCCGTAGATTCAGCTGTTGGGAAGAAGCAATTCGCCTGTTGGATACGATATAAAATCGTATCTGATAGTCTTTGAAGTCGCAACCGCAATTCCAGGAAATTAGGATTAATTATCTTTTTACAGACTAGAAAATATTCTTTGGAGATAATGTTTGTATTAGCCTTAACTAGTTCACCATTTTGTCCGATGAAAGCAGAATGTTGCCTTCCATTTCGGTTATGCGTCATAATTAAATTTATGAAAGTTGACTGTTTGGAACACTGTGCCATCCCAACGACGCGAAAATGCACTTGCCCCTTTAAGTGCCTAAAGGGTTTACGTGCGTGCTTTTCCTCGTATACGGAAATTCATATTTTTAGTTCATCCGTTATACACGGAATATTCTGCGAGAGAAACTTAAAGTTTATTTCAAAACTATCATTGTTTTCCATACGAGATTATCAGCAATTTTTAATGTCATATGTATCAAGGTATAAAATGTACAAGACATACGATTTCTTATTAATAAACGTATATAATTTATGGAGGATAACAGCAATTTAAATTTTTTAATTTGAAACGTATTTCCGAATCCGTTTTAAATATTTAGAAATTTAAAGAGGATTGCTTCGACGATTCAAAATTTTATCATTGCTGAACAACGTTCGAGTTCACTATAAAGTATATTATTTTTCGAAACATATATAGTTACGTATAAATATATTTGTTACCCTTTATTTTATTTTATTATATTTTTAATTTTACATTTTCTTTACATGTAGTTCATATATTTTATGTAGTTTAAAATATAAACGAATCTCACGAATATACTATCGTGTAGTATTTAAACTTTCAAGTTATCGATATATACATCTGTAGAACCAATAGGAGTACGGTATTTGTAACTCCAACAATGCGCATGCGCAGCATATTATTCGTTTGCAACCGCTTGAAAATTTCATATCACGTGACCGCAGTTTCTTATATCCGGGCGTTTTAGCGACATTTTTACAATATTAATATAAACTTTATGTTCGAAAAGTGCGGTAACTATTTACATGATCGGACATTCTTATAGATGAAATAGTTTATAAAGACATAGTGTAAAGTACAATATATAATGTGAAATAAGTACGTAATAATGAAGTGAGCTATGGAACGCTTTTCTATTGGAATGGAAGCTACAGCATACGTCGTAGAGCAAGTACATAAAAATAATATTCAATTTATTTAAACGAATGTGGTACAATGTTTATTTAAATTTTTATGTAGTTTAAAATATAAACACATCCTACGAACATACTACCGTGTAATATTAAAACTTTCAAGTTATCGATATATGCATCTGAAGAACCAATAGGAGTACGGTATTTGTAACTCCAACAATGCGCATGCGCAGTATATTATTCGTTTGCAACCGTTTGAAAATTTCATATCACGTGACCGAAGTTTCTTATATCCGGGCGTTTTAGTGAAATTTTTACAATATTAACATAAAATTTATGTTCGAAAAGTGCGGAAACTATTTACATGATCGGACATTCTTATAGATAAAATAGTTTATAAAGACATAGTGTGAGGTATAATATAAAGTGTGAAACAAGTGCGAAATAATGAAGTGAGCTTTGGAACGCTTTTCTATTGGAATGGAAGCTACAGCATACGTCGTAGAGTAAGTACACAAAAATAATATTCAATTTATTTAAATGAATGTGGTATAACGTTTATTTAAATTTTAAATTACACTGATTACACCAGAATCAAAACAGATTATACAAAGATAAGAGAAAACGTATATTCAAATTTTATACCCTCCTATGTCTTAGATGGATTAACCACTTAATGGTAATTCATATATGTTTTAATTTAATTACTTTAAAGTGAAAATAAATAGAAGATAGACAGGTATAAATCACACTGTGAAAAGTATACTTGTAGTAAGATCATTTTCGTACAAATTCTGTCTACTTCCCTTTTCTTACTGATTTCACGATGAATGCAGAATTATCCATACAATTTAACAATTATACAGACTTTACCTCTACTTTGGATGCTGCATAATATTTAAAATTAACTTACATTATATTTAACACTCTACAATTGGAATGTTTTGTTAAATAATCATGGCATTTTCTAATTACACTTTTCAAAAGTGGCAGTATACAATAAATTATTACTTCCAAGAAACTGTTAGGTAGATTAAAAACCAATATAAATATATATATGTATATATAAATTATTTGTTAAAAGCAATGTAAAAGCAATGATATTTTGGTGATTAATCATCATACTAGTTTGTGAATATAAACTGAATTTCAACTGTAACATTCCTACTTAAATATAAAGTAATTAGATCATACAGCTTTGTTTATCTATTATACAGAATCATCAACGGATTTGTGTAAGGAATCCATATACCTTCTTTCTTGTTCCGTTGTTTTTAACCATTGCTTATGTTCACATAAGTAAGGATACAATGGTACTACTAACACACTGATATCATCAACCGATGAGAACTTTTCATCCGTGTCTTCGAGATTTTCTGATTTACTAAGCCAAGCTCGCCCAACTAATGTACCACGTGCTGCTTGTACCAATTCTTGAGCACTCATTGTAAGCCTGCAACAAAGAATTTCATACATTCTACCTCTAATGTATATGTAGATATTTATTACAAATTTCTAAACAAAAGAAGGAGACAATACCTGTATTCTAATGACGGATAATCAGGAGCAAGTGTCTTTCTGAGAACACTTGCAGCTGCTTTATTTGACACAACATCCCAAAGTCCATCTGTGGCTACAATAATACAATCACGTTCTGTGAGATTACAATTATCTAAATCTATAGACTGCACTTCGGGTTGTGATGAAAGGAATGGTTTTATATTAACTCTTGTGCAAGCTGCCTTTAAACCGTGATCTCCAAAACCACGTGTTACTCCTATAGTACCTAGTACTCGACTCTATATGAGAATTGCACATTCAGAGAAGCTTGTTAAGTTTCAATTAATTATTCATTTAATTAATTATTAATTATAAGTGTCTAGATATTATAAATATTTACCCGTTTACCATGTCCAGAAATAAGAGGTGGCTTTAAATCTGCAGAAGTTAATTCTTTATATGCCCAACCAGTCATAAAAGGATTTCTATACAAAATCATAGATCCTAGTTCTTTTTCCGAAGGTCGTTTCCTAAACTCTAATGCAGTAAAGTGACCTTTCAATAATTCATCCCTTCTTACATAACCTAATAGCCTGATCCGATCTGATTCTGAATCAGGCGTGTGATCTCTAGTTAGTGCACGCTGAGTGTCTCCCAAAACTAGTACAGCTCTGTCAAATATAGATTTAGTATAAATTATTTTGATTTCCATTGTTGGTATTAAAAGTTCAACTGTTCAAATTTTCACCTTGAATCACCAGCACCTGCAGCATATAATCTACCATTGAGAAACAGAATGGTAATCGCTGTGCAACCTCCACCTTTCCTCTGAGCTTGTAATTCTACCATTTGATCCATTTGTTCATATGCTAATTCAATAGCACCGTCAACTAAATCTTTTCCTCTTAGCAGTGCATCTTCATCTCCATGTAACAATATATTGCCAGGGATTTCTAATAATTTCCCCTGAAAGAAAGATATGCATTTGAAAATGTAATATTTGAAATCAAGGTGAAGACAATTATGTAGAAAATTCCTATTTATTCGTACAAGTATTATCCTGTGTAAATGCAGTCTGGCTGTTAAAGCCACTTTATAACCAGCATGGCCATCAAACATAGAAAACATGACATAAGGCAATGTAACATTAATATCTGATAGTTTGAGATCTCCTCTAGTTGCTGAGGTTTGATCCTCGTTCCATGTACTTTTGCCAGCATTTATGCATTCTGCATAACCAGCACACCATGGTAATCGACTTAAATCTCTTGGAACTATGATTGGCCTTACTCCATGATCGGCACTTACCTATTAATATTATAAATGTCAATGGAACTTTTGCTACTTATTATTAAATACCATGATAGTAACAACATTTATATTTACTTACAATAGTTTCTTCTGTTGTTAATCCTAGAAAACTAGGTCTACTATATGGTTTATCTTCTACATCTACCACATTTGAATTCAGATAATCCGATGATGTTTCATTATCTGTATCATTAGTAGGATATTGTAGGCCAAGTTCACTTCCACCCATGACATTCATTATCACTGATTTAAATCTGTTCAGCATCTTCACTTTGTTATTTGTGAATACAGAAATAAGAAATATTATATACAATAAGAGATTTAACTCTTAATGACAGTAACCAAATTTGCTTTACTTTTAGTCAAAGGACATAAGTCCACATCTATGTACAATATTAGCAAAGAGGAAGTACAAAATATTAAGTTTTGATATGGTTATTTGTCATCTGTCAATTACCAATCCCAAATTTAATTTAGAGACAATAGTCTTACAATCCCAATAACACTTATGTTAAAAAAATAAGATACTTATGTATAATTATACATTTGACTACTCATAAGTTTGTATTCTCTTTAACTGGTGACTCTTGTTGATAAATAATTGTTAACAATAGGATAGGTTATTTTCTGACATAATCAGCAGGTAGCTGTTTTACCATAAACGACGTATAACCACAAACTAGATATAGAATAGATCTGTCACCTCGTGGAACATTTTATTCCATGTTCTGAAATATCGACCGCGCAGGAATTAAAAGTTTTAATCGTAAATGTTATTTATATGACGTAATCAAAGGAGTAAGAAAAAGTTGCACTTGTGGTATTAAAAATTTTTCTTACCACTGTAGTTGATATATATCTCATTTATGATAATAATGATATATCTTATCGCTATTGCCATCGCAGTTGCCTTTTAACTACTGCTTCTACTTTAACGATACTGCGTTGCACATGTAGTTACAGTAGTGGCCACGTACATATGCAGTGTTTGCTGCGTTTAATGTTTACATTAGGGTTGCTAAATATGTAAACTTTAAAAGTGTGAAAGGAATGCAATGTTTATAATATTTCCACATAATGAAAGTTCGTTAAAATTGAATGTCATTTATATGAATTGTTTAAAAGAATTTAATGTAGTGCATACTTTGGAAAATAAATATGTCTAAAGTAAGAAAGAGTGAATACAGAAGTGA